CATACATTAAATGCATTATTAATAATAGTTTTCAATTATAAAAGACAAATCTAGGTACCTCTTCATGGTTACAAGCAGTACTTACACTTGACTTCAAAAGAAATAGCATCATAGTAGCATTTCCAAAACACCTTTTTCAAACTGTTTCAAGAAAGGTAATAGGTCGAGATTTAGAAGAGAAACTGGAGATTCAGTATTTGCGAAAATGTACATTTCTGCAGAAATACAATTAGCTTGATACTTTTGTTTCAGAAATAGTTCTGAAAATAGCCTATAATCTGCAAGCACACTTAGACATTTGCCCCTTAATATTTATATAACTACCATGTAACGTCAAGCTATGATATGGAAATGCCTTTTCTCTGTGAAGCTCTGACCTCAATTTCAACCTCTGACGACTGACAAACTTGACATACTGGTAGAGTTTCACATTTATGCAGATTTGATTATGTCCTTGTCTCCTTGATTTAAATTTACAGAACATAATGGGTAACCAGCTGAACAGCAATCAAATCCAATGAAAACCAAATTTACTGTTTCCTTCTGCCTACCAAGGAGAACACAGGAAAACAATAGAATAGAAAGAGAAGAGTGTAACAAGAATTAAGGTAAATATTTTGAGTGCTGCAGCTCAATACTAAATATTGAGTACTTTCTTGTGGGCTACACAGCAGGAGTTCATAGCTCCAAACAGTCAAAAATGTGGAAGTCCAGAAAAGGGCAAATTTCCAGTCCTCCACCAGTGGCTCCTCCAATGCAAAGATAAAAAGCCAGGGGAAATCCCTCAAGAAATTGGCTGTAGTTGATTTTGTCAGCTGAGGTGCCCTTGTGTCAACTATTGCTGCATTTCCATTGCTTCCCAGTACCAAACAGAAATTATTCTACTCCATTTAAACATTTAAATTCATGCTGTAGTTTTGTTTGGGATGGGTTTTGTTCTGTTTTGGTTCAGGTGGATGGGGGCAGATGCATAAGAGGGAGGTCATTTGAGACAGCAAAAATTAAGCATTTACAGATCCTGTGCTTACTTTTCCTTGACCAGGTACATAAAAAAATCCCTCCTTAAGTATCAAACACTCAAAGGTAAGTTGCAAAAGCCTAAGTTCAAAACACCTGAGAAAGATACTTTCTATTGACCTGTCAGGAAACTTTGAGACTCTACAGAGACATACTGAAATAGAATCTAAGACAGTTTCCACCCCAAAATGATTCACAGAGACTACAGTTGCATTAGAATTAATTTTGTCACAAAAATAATCCACTTGGTTTCACACAGTGCTGTAGAATCGCGCTATATACACAGACTTTCAGATATTCAGAGTACAGCACATTTCTTTGAAAAATTAGGCTGAGAAAAATGTTTGATCTTTACAAACCATTTGTTCTTCAGTCTCAAGAACAATTAGTTTAAGCTTTGAGAGATATGCAAGTCATTTATTGATCCTGAAAAAAAATGGAATTGACAGAGATACCAGTATATGGCGAATTTTAAGTTCATCATTATACACTTTTAATGCCTCATGTATAAGTTTTTCTGCATTTCTAAGAATGCAAATCTGCTTATCACCATATAGAATTTACTCTGTGTTTACAACCTTCATTCTCAGAAGCTTTACAAAGAATGAGAATGTCCTACTCTGCATTAAAAGTTCAAGTGGGAAAGTTGTTTTGTAGAAGCTCAGGGGAACAGCTGGACTCAAGCTCCATCACATTCACATCAAGTATGATGAAAATTTTTAACAGTTCTTGCATTGTCTTAAAACACATGGAGGGGTTAAAACAAACCAAACCAATCCAAACAAACCCAACCCCACAAACAAACAAACAAAAAAAAGAAAAGCAGAACTCTATGGAGAATATGGATCACCTTCCTAAAGAGACTATTAGAAAGAATGAAAGTGGATGTTGTGGCTATTGTCTAAACTAGCTTGAGGGAGAACTCCTTGGTGTCACAATTTCATCTGGTTTTGTCCTACTTAGCATATCCCACTTATGTGCATTTCTAATTCAGTAGAAAGACTACCAGAATTGCCAGCTGATAACAATTTACACTAAATTAAAGCAGTTATTCTGACTTCTAAATGATGAAACAGCTGAAGTACTGTCAATGTGTAGCCTTCTGCTGGGATTCAGATCAATATTGTCCCAGTGCCAAGACTAGTACTACTTTTCTACACCTACCTAAAAATAGTTGCCATGCTTCACAGCAAACCTGACTTTTATTAGCAATTTTCCACATCTGCTAGCCCCATGTTATCCCTCATTTTAACTAGGATGACCAAATATTCCAGTCTGTTGTAAAATAAGCAAGCAGTAAGCTAATAGTCCTTCTGATTTTTAGGAACATTGATATTCCCTGTACTGAAAGGTCTGGTGTTAATTGCTCAAAATTAATTCTATGAAGCTATGAAGAATTAAGAAGGAAAGAACAATTTGAATAGGATTAACCCTGTAAGACAGGAAAATTCGAATTACAAGCATGCATTGAATAAAATACTTGAAAATTTTTAAAATAATACCAAAAATGGTGGTTACCAGCTTAACAGCTGTCAAGTGCAACTAAGAAGCTGCCCAATACAAGAATCTGCAGAGCAGATGGTACAATTTCTGAGATCTCCCCTGTGCAATTACAGCACCAATGCTGCTTTGCAGTATGTCTGCTGAGTTTAGACTGCTAAAGGTATCTCATTGGGAATGTCAAAATGGACCACAAAGAAAATCTCCATGCCTGGAATTTGGTGAACGGAAAATATTTATTTATAGAATAATAGAATCATTAAGAATGAAAAATATCTCCAAGATTGAGTCCAGCCTCTGTCCGAATACCTCCACATGGTCAATGAAACCATAGCTCTAAGTGCCACAGTAATTTCCTGAACACCTCCATGCATGTTAAGCATTCCAATGCTTAACAACTCTTCCAGTGAAGAAATTTTACCGTATGTCCAACCCGAGCCCCCCCTGGTTCAGTTTACAAACATTTGGTTAGTTGTTTTTGAGTCTGTAATCTATCTTAAATTTAGAAGATGAGAGAAATCAATTTTCTTGAACTGACTTAAGATAGTACATCTTCTCTGATGGAATATAAATATGAAGAACATGTCACTGAGTCACATCACAATCACTCCACCATGCTACGCCATCCACAGCCTCATTCATGGAGGTTTACTCCTCCTTGTAGCAACAGATACATCCTAAGACCTTTGCAAAGCAAATCCAAACTGATTCTACACAGAAGAATACTGCAATCACGCACAGTCTATCCATATTTTTATTCCACCTCACATTTTAGTTTTCAAGGTTGCTTTGTTTGGGTTCAGAACATGCAGGCTAAAATTGGGAAGGAACAGAAGGCAATGTGCAGGGGAAGAAAGAGAGAGTGCATGAACAAGCCTTCATGTAAAGGACAAAAAGTTGCAACACCACGGGAATACAGTTCTTCCCTTTGTGAGGCTGAGCGCTCCCTCTGCTTCCCCAGAACCTGATCCAGAAAACCTACTAGCACTACACACACGGAAATACAGACATGAAGTGACTGCCTTAAAACACTGTGTACTTCCTCATGTGGGAAAGGCCAGCAACTGTGCCTTCCTGCTGCATCTACTGTTGTAACTATCACTGTGAAGCACTAAGGCAGCAGACAATTAAGTTGTAATTGAAAACAGGGCTCAAACCAATCATCTTCCCAAACATGCTGTGCCTGTCCCTACACTCTCCCCCTTACGTGCCTTGTCATCTTCCTTTCACAACCATCTGATGCATCTGTGCCCTGCCACTCGTGTCACATCCCCACAGAGCAAACCACAGCCGCTCTTCCTCCCCACTGCAACCCTCCTCACACCTGTGCTCCGTGTCCTGCTGTCCCCACATACAGGTGAAACAAACCTTGTGCCCGCCACACTCACCCCATAAATCTATTATAAACGCAATAAATGCATCCGTGCACACACATCACAACATCACAGCCACGCACGCTCACACACCCAAGCCACTGCTGCTCTGTACACACAAATGCCATACCCTGTATCTGCTACGTATGCCCAGGACTACGGATAATCCTTGCCCCACCCATAGCATACGTGCCTTTAAAAATATCCACAGATTATGCCACACCCAATATTCACTATATATACACACAGGAACAAGCCCGTACCAGACAGCAGCGGGCAGACACGGTACATACATACGGTGCCATGTCACGGCCCTGCACACAATGTCACATCTCTGCTACAACACAAACACACCATACCTGGAGCCCAAATCACAGCAGATACACACAGAGGCACAGCATTACGCTCATTGTGTATCTGCTATGTGCACACATCGCAGGCCACACCCTGACTCACGGCACATGCATACGGATACAGCACAGCGCCCAAACCCAGCATCCCGCGCATCCCCACGGTGATACCCCATCCCTGCCCTGCGCACCGACACACGCCCTGGCTTTTCCTCTCGACTTTATAAGGGGCACGACACACCTCCATCATTGCCCGGCCGCCCTACACACCCATATAAACACACCATGTAAACACACCATCCCTCCTGTGTTATCCAGGCGGACAACACACCTGACTCGCGTCACACGCCAGGCAGAGCCCTACCATGGCTGCTCCGGCGCTACACGGGAGGAGGAGGAGGAGGAGGAGGAGGCGGCAAGGCGCCCGTCACACCTCGCCCCAGACACGCAGGCATGTGCCACAGCGAGGGGCAGCGCGGCCCCACCTGCTCTGGACAGGCACGCAGACAGAGGGGCAGACAGACAGAGGGACAGACAGACACTCTCTCTTCGTCTACAGCGCGGGTGGGCGCAGCCCGCGCCGGGCCGCACGCCCAGCGCCGCATCCGCGCCCCGCGCTCCCCCGCCCGCCACCCTCGCCTCGGGCTGAGCCGCCCGGCCCCGGGGCCGCTCCGCACGGCCCGGCCGGCACTCGCTGCCCGCCCCGGGCGGCCGGGCCGGGCCAGCCCACTGCGGCGGGGCCGTGCCGCGGGCTCCTCACCATGGCAGAGGCGCGGCGGCGGCGATCCCGGTTGTCCCGGCGACGAGGAGCCCCGAGGAGGGCGCCAGGTGCCCCCGCCGCCGCCGCTGCCGCCGGAGCCGGGGCGGGGCCGGCGCGCGCCCGCGTGACCGGCACCGCCCCTGCGCCGTGAGGCCGGCCCGCCCCGCGCCGCCTCCCGGGGGAAGGCGCTGGCGGCCCCGAGGGAGCGGCCCTGAGGGCGGCGGAGGGGCCAGGGCGCTGCCCGCCCTCCGTTCCGGGACTCTGCGGGGTGCTGCCGGCGCTGCCCGGTGTGGCTGCGCCCTGCGCCGCCCGTCTGCAGCCCGGATTTGTATTGGGCACCGTGATCTCCTGGAGACACACTGGAGACACCGAATCGTGGAATCGTCAAGGCTGGAAGGGACCTTAAAGATCATAAGGTCCAACCATCAACCCAGCGCTACCACTGGAACCTCTAAACCGCTAAACCACATCACCCAGATCCAGACACCTCTTAGACACCTCCAGGGATGGGGACTCCACCACCTCCCTGTGCAGCCTATTCCGATGCCTGACCACACTAAGAGTGAATTTTTTATTTTCTAATGTCTAGTCTGAATCTCCCTGGTCTCAGCTTCAGGCCATGACACCTGGTTGTCTCACTGCAAGGAGGTAGAAGGGGCCAGCTCCCACCTGGGTACAACCTCCCCCCAGGTAGTCATGGAGAGTGATGAAAAGTTCAGCCCGAGATGCCACCGTGGAGGGCTGCAACTTGCAACCACGGCTGTAGATGACCGGGGTGCGATAACATCCTAAATCCTACGGAAAAATCCACAAAAGCTGGCCTGTCAGCCAGCCAAGAGTTTTCAGGCAATGCGTGCTGTCAGTAAGAGCACGGCTTGCTTCTGCAAACACTCTCTGCGTAAAACCACTGTCAAAGCCAAACACAACATTGTTAGTAGCGTGCTTATGGGTCACATCTGTTCAGCAGTCACAATACCCCATGCAAAAGTGAGGAGATGGGAAAAATCGTGAGGAAAAAATTGCCCCAGCAGGTATTGTTTTCTGTTGATTCAGTCCTTCAGGTTTCTAAGAATCATAAGTAGTTGTTGCAGAGGAACAAGAGTTTGCTCTTTGGAACCGGCTGCATTCATTCCTTTAAGGAATGAAACATTCTGGTTTGATTAGCAGTAAAAAACGGTTTCTTATGAAAGTGTCCTTTCTCAGAACCCGCACGGAAATAGTTGGTACATGCACATATCATTTGTTGGCACATCTTTGAATCTGCTGTCTTCTACTCTCCAGATTTTGGAGAATGACCTGGTTGGTACAGCTGATCTGGTTTGTATAGTAGGGAAGAAAGCCTCAAAAATGTGAAATATGTATAAACAATTTAGACATGTTCAGCTGAATTGCAGAAGGCCCAGACTAGCAGTTTCTAAATTCTATTGATTCACATTTAGAAAAAGGAAAAGATTACTGCCCCATGATACTTTTTTTTAAAATTTTATTTCATATGGCAAATGTCTGGGCTGTATTGTAAGGATAGGGACAAATTTCCCTATCACAACAGTAAAAATAAAGAAATCTAGGGAATTAGAATCAATTATAGTTGCAGCAACCTGAAGGAAAAAAATGATCTTATTTTGCAAGAAGAAGGGGCATTACAAAACATCCACCATCTTTGATGATGAGGAATCCAGTATAATTAGCTAAATTTGGATGTGTTTTTGCAAGAGATGCAAGACAGGAGGCAAACGTGTGAGCAGGCTCTCCATTGCCTCAATCAGTTCTCATTTGATTGAAAACTGTCAGAAGGAGCAAATTGTTGCAAAATAGATTTGAATCAATATTTTATGTATTAAAAAAGACTATATGAAAAAAGGTGTCTTGTTTCATCCCGCAAGAAGGAAAAGACAGCCATACATTTGCCACCTATGGATATATTTAGGATGTGAGAGACAGAAATCCAGCCTTTTGGGTCTGGACCAACTAGTGGTGTTATAGCACCACACTACTGACATTTTGGACTCCTTTTGTCCATATTGTGGTATCACCTGAAAATTCAAAAAAATTTTAATCAAAAAACCCCTGCTAGATGAAAAGGTCCATCAGCTGGGACAGCCACAATCTCATAGCTAGAAAAGAGTTTATATAAGAGTTTTGAATTTAAGAGTAAATTTCTTTCTCATTATCTAGGAGATCCCCAATGCAGCAGCTGGGCAGAGGTACCCAAGCAGAGACATGGGCACCATTAAACTCGATCCATGCTAGAGGATCACTTGGCTGCTGTTCACTCAGGCTCATCAAGAGTTATTCCCAGCTGCAACGTCAATTTACAGTCCTCCTTGCCAGTTTTCTGCATTTAAGTCATTCCTGCCAGCTCTGACAAAGTGGCACGGTGCATCCTCAGCCACCTCAGCCCTGGATCATGAGAAGTGTGTCATTGCTGCCAGGCAGGGCAACCACTCAGAGGGGCCTTTGCAAGCTGCAAAAATGGTAACCTCAAATGCTGATGGGAATCTCAGGACACTGAGCAAAGGCAAATGCCAAATCCTGCATCTGTGATGAGGTATCCCTCTGCAAGAGCACAGGCTGGGGCAGCTCTGTCCATCTCTGGTGGACAATGAGCAGAACATGAATCAGAAATGAGCTCTGCATTAAAAAACTGCACTAGGAAGGGAGTAGCTTGGAGGCTGAGAGAAGTGATTGCATCCATCTATTCAACACCCATGAGACTGCATCTGAAGTGCTGTGAGCACCTCTGGATCCTCATCATCAGAGAGGTGTTGACAAAATGGGCAGAATCACGTGTAAGAACACTACAGGTTTTGGGGGCTGCAGACTGTGCCAAGCAAGAGGAGACCTGGTGTTCATTTAATCTAGACAAGAATCCATGAGGGATCTAATTGCAAACTTCCACTACCTGAAATGGGGGTTATAAAGAAGATGAAGCCAGACTGTCCTGTGAAAGACTGAGATAATGGTCACATGTTGCAGAAAGGGAAATTCAACTGGATATAAGAAGGTTTGTGGCAGTAAGAGTGGCTGTGCTCTAAACCAGGGATCACACAGACAGTGTTGTCTCCGATGTTGGAGATTTTCAGCACGTGGCTGGACAAGGTCATGAGTAACCTGTGCTTTCTTACTTACAGGACTTACAGGAAACCTTCTGAATGTCAGCCAGGCAGTATTTTCAGGCACAGATAGATGATGTGTGAAAGCTTTGTGTTTGAGACATTTCCCATAACAGCCATTTTTCCTAGGTTTGATAGGTCAAGGTTGGTCCTTCTTTTGTGTTCTCATTGTTCTAGAAAAATTCAAAGTGGTGTTTTTAGACTCAGTTTTGTGTTAGTGAATCTCTGCAGCAGAAAATTACTTTATGCAAAAAAAGAACAAAAATTCAGCCAGACAAAGTCTTTGAACTTTACCACAGTCTCTCAAATAATAATAATGAGCTGGCAAAGTTTGACAATTATCATCTGTGTGAGAGACTTTGATAAGCCATGGCATCAGTCCTGTAAGTGTCTGTGTGATTGGTTACCCTCACCTACTGATATAATTCAGTAAGCACAAAACCAGAGGGTTCCCCCATATCCAGCTCCAGACTTTTCTCACTATGTACTTCATCTAATATGGTATATTTAAATTGCCTTTCAGAGCACACGTTCACTTGCCATGCAGAAGGATCTCTGCTTGGGTGTTTTTAATTTAATTTCCAGTTTAAGTAAGAGGTGTTGAAATTTCTATCACATTTGCCCTTAGAAAATATTTGTTTGGGAGAACTAGTCTGATAAAAGTTTGGAAAGGTAACTTGGGTTCCAGAGAAGGACACAGTACATATGTTTAGCTGCTGTTGCATATGTCTGTCAACAGCACAGAGGGTACAGACATTTGGTAGCACTTTGACCATGTATGGTTTCCCCAGTAGCCTAGCATAGTTGGCTTGGAGCTATGTTTTAAAAAATGAAGCAAAATTAGGGGTATAAAAAGTCACTGTTGTAAGATTTGTGTGGTTGCAAATAAAAATAAAGCTTAGGTTCACAAGCAGAGTGGTATTTTACTGCATGTCCTAATGTTCTGTCTGTGTTATAATAAATGCCAATAAAACTTACTGTTTAGTACTCCTTTGAATTAGTTCCCATTTGTTGCAGTCATGTGAATATATCGGGCTGGCAGAAGCAGTGATGGAATAGGATACCCTTTGCAAAGTACAATAAAACCCTTTGTTTATACACTGTGCTGCAGTGCTTTTTGGTTTTTTAAATCTTTTTAATTTAAAGACATTTATAAGCCACTTACTAAAGAATACAAATGTGAACTCTTAAAGATGCTTTACAAAGCCTTTCTTTCTCAAGCTTTGCATTTTGGGGGAATATATGTATATTTATTTGCATAAAAGTACCAGAAAAAAATTCTCAGCTTGTTACACTCAAATTATTCATAACATTTAGCAGACCTAACATTTGAATTTAGATTATGTGTGTCATAGCTTCCAACAATTCAGCTGTTTGAAAATTATGTTTGATAAACCCATTCTATGCTGTAAATAATATATTGGAATTTTCCAATAATGTTAGTTTGCAACTGTGAAATAAAACCCTTTTAATGTAGTTAGTTGTTGGTCACCTAAACTAAAAATCCTTGCATCTGTTTTATCTTGGGAGGTAGAAACCTGAATGGAATTTTATTAAATAAAAGCAAAGGAGGAGAAAAATACTAGAATTTTAAATGAAGAATGAAAATTATTGTGGTCAAATGTCTATGCAGAGTATCTATTTTCTCTAAACTTTGAAAACATTCTGTTGCTTTAACAGAAGAGATATTTTATGCCTCTGGCATTTCCAGTATCGTATAGTTCTTATTTGAGATTCCTTAAATTTTAAGAATGTGCTTGGTTCTTTGAAAAGGAAACATTGTGAAACCCTAGACTCTTTGAATTGGACTTAAATGCAGAGAGGACCTTCTCATCTGGCTCACCAGCAAAAGGTTGGAGCGCAGTAAAGAGCACACATGAAGAGATAGCAAAGATACCTAACTTATATAGTTATTGCTCCTTTTGGTAATGATGCTTTCCCAAATTGCCAGTTTGAACTCCATGCCTGAGGTTTTTCTTTTGTT